GTGGTGGTGGTGGTGTGACTCAGGTCATCCTTTGTTTTCTTTTTCTTTTTTGCATACATCCACACTACAGTCTAACTAATCTTCCACCTGTTTGGATTATCTTCTTTTTTTGTTTCTTAATGTTAATGTGTTTTGTGTGTTTTTGCTCTCTCTTTGTGTTTATCCTATAATTATTATTATTGCTACTCCATTGTGTGTGTGTGTGTATTATTGGAGACTCTCTCTGTGTGTGCATCTGGGCTTGCACTGTGATGATGATGAACTGTTTTTTGTAGTGTGAGGAAAAGGAAATAATAATAAATGAATTTATATTTATAATTGCATGTATACACATATATACTTATACCCATAGTTGGTGTATATTTCAGTGTTTACTGTGTAAATTGGGCTAATGGTTAATATCTTTTTCTTTGCTTATGGTTTTGCTGAGGTGCTTGTTGTGGCCCTGCAAACTGTTTTTGTGCTTTTTCTTCGTGTAGAAGGAATGAACAATATACAATACACTTTTATATTTCTAATTGCATATTAACGCAAGAGTTCCCACAGTTTTCTGATTTGTGTGTTTGATTATGCTGTGGGTATTCTTTTAATTGCTTTTTTCTTTCTTTTTTGATTAGTCTGCTCTTTTTGTGGTGGTTATTGATATTTTTGCTGATGGTGTTGTTTTGTACAACTGTTGGTTTTGTTCTTGTTCTCTCTGTTACTGTTGGGTAATGTGTTTGTGGTTATTTTACGTTCTGATTGTTTTCTTTTTCTTTTTCTTTTTGTGCAGCTCAGATACCCCAAATAAGGAAAAGAACTGCTGCCGTGATGTTTCTTCACCGTGTGTTGTATGTTCTGGCATTGCTCTTGAGCATTATCCCTTTATGTGTGGCGACTGATGAAACTGACTTATCTACAGCTGAAGTTGATGGTGGTTGCACTCCTGAAGATAGTCAAACTGAAAAGTGTGCTGGAATTACTAAAGGTAGAAAAGGTGCCTCTGGTCCTCCTGGTCCTGTCGGTCCTGCTGCCGAAGCAGGTGAACAGGGTCCTGATGGTGAAAAAGGCGAAAAAGGTGCTGCTGGAGCTTCTGGCAAAGCAGGTGCACCTGGTCCTGCTGAAAAGGCAGATGAAAAAAGCAAAGACACCAATGGTTCTGATGAGAATAGGGTAAATCAGGGAAATCCGACCAATGTTTCCGCTCCTAATACTCACTCTTCACAACGACAACCTTCTGGCGAACCGGGTAAGCAAGGTCCTTCTGGCCAAAATGGTGATCGAAGCAACGTTCCTGGTCGTACTGAAGAAGATCAGGAAGTCACAGAAGGTATTCGTCCTGTTACCACTGTTACTCATGAACCTTCTACTTCTGTTCTCACTCCTGATCCTAACCCTTCTGCGGGGAGTGCTGTTGAGTCTTCAGGTGATGGCCAAACTGGAATCAAGGGCAACAATACAACACGTGAGGGTGAAAATGGAGATAACAATGGAACTGCGGAAACACAACCTTCTGCTGACTCTCCTAACACTTCGCCCACAGTGAGTGGTGATGGTTCTGATACTGCAACACCTGGGAATGGCACTTCATCTGCAGGGAGTGAGTCAACAAATAACCCAGAAGGTGCGGGAAATGCAGAAACATCCACCACCACAACGACAACAACAACAACACTTCCTCCTGAACTCACAAACAACAAGAAGGGTGATGCAGACAGCAGCAGCAGTATCAGCAGTTCTGTGTGGGTGCGTGTACCACTACTGATTGTGGTTACACTGGCTTGTATTCTTCTGTGCTGATTGTAATGGTGGTGGTGGTGGTGTGACTCAGGTCATCCTTTGTTTTCTTTTTCTTCTTTTTTTGCATGCACCCCTACATTCTAACTAATCTTCCACCTGTTGGGCTTTCATTCTTTTTGTTTCTTAATGTTAATGTGTTTTTGTGTGTTTTTGCT